ACATTCGACGTTTGGTTCGATGCCGCTGCTGCGTGGCTTAGGGGTCACAAATTTGTGGAGCAGTGGACAGGGAACGCCAACAGCTTCCTTAGCAAATACCTTCCACAACTGCAGCAGCAGCGACGGCATCCGCAGGTTGAACATCACCAGCCCGAGCAGCACAGGACTGAACATCAGCAGGAAGGACGGCAAGTGCCTCAGAAATCAAAGGAACTGCTGTTCGAGGGAGAGAGAGAAGGGTATTCTTGCCTGGTAGTGGAGGGTTCAGACCAGAGTAGAGGATGGTTCCAAAGCCTTCTGCTATCCCACGCAGGCGCCAGGGAAGGCCTCCGCCGCCAGCGAGCCAAACAGCTGAGTGCTGGTGCCCTCCAAGAGCAGAAGAATAGCAGACAGGAAGTGGCTGCGCATATGACAGAGACAAGCGGAGCATCAGTCGGCGATGAGGCAAGCGTCCATGGGAAGCCGCAGCCAGCAACGACGTCCCTGGGCGATACAAGATTGCCTCAACTACCATTCAGCATCGCGGTGACCCATGGATTTGTCGTAGACTCTAGTGTACGTATCCCAAACATACAGCTGCTGTCCCTTCCTGCCATGTTTCCCCTTCGCTTTGAGTTGCTGCTGACTGTGCCCACTGAGGTGCGTGGCCTTGCGCTTTGCGGGTGTTGTGGGTGTAGGGCAACAAGCTGAGCAAGTCAAAGGGAAATGCTCTTTCGCCAGACCTCTTCTTCTCTGCTGAGAAGGAAGCTGCACCAGCAGCTCCAAGAAATTTACCCCATGCACACAGCAATACCTTGCAACCGCAACAACTCCACCGCGTACGGAAGCAGCAGAAAGATAGCCAACTGGCGTACGGTGCCGATGTGTTGCGTCTGTTTGTGGGCTCCCTGGACTTTGGAGGAGACATGGCGTGCCCTTCTGGAGATTCGCAAGAGCAACAGCAGGAAAGACAAGCTGTAATGCAGGCAGCAAGCACTACTTATGTCAAGCTCAGAAATGCATTCAAGTACCTCGTCGGTTCTCTCCACGACTTTGACATCAACGCTGTAAGCATCTAGTGGAACTGCGGCACAGGGACGGGCGATCAGGAGAGGTAGCTACACCACAAGCAAGAGCGACTGCAGGATAACTTACAGCACAGTCCCCAGTAACAGCATCAGAAGTGCCAGCAATAGAGATAGGACCAGCTACGCGGGCTTCACTAGGACGAACTTTGTATCGTTCTCGGCAGTTCTGGCTCTAGTAGGAGATACTGCCTCTGCTGGTTGCTGCAGTGCAACTTGATGTGTGGAGTTTTACGCATTTTCAGGACGTGGTCCCGCTGAATGAGCTACCCCTTTTCGACATCGGGATGCTCCTGAGGCTACAGACTTTGGCGGACGACGTGGGAAAGGCCTACGAGGTGTTCCAGCACAACAAGGTACTGGCAGCGAGTCAGAACTTCTTGCTGCTCCTGAAATTGCTGAGCGCTTGCTGCATGTTGTACTAGTACTCTGACCAGTGCTGCTAGACGGGGTGTTGCCAACGGGCGAGATGTTTGCTGCAGCTGTAGGTGAACCGGCCGCCAGCTTTCTGCGTCGCGTTGCTTCGTCGCAGGCTTTGCGTTTGCTGCTTCGGTTTATCTCCGAGGATTTTTCAGCCACTTTTATTGAAGTAGCGAAGGATAGACTTTACCTTGACCACCCTACGGGCTACCGCAGACGCAGTTGCCAGGTTAGGGTTGCAGTGCTATATGCCTAGCTCTGTCTGTCTATGCCTCTATCTCTCCCTCTTTCTCTCTGTATCTGTGTGTATATGGCGGTTTCCCCCCAGCTAGCCCCCTCTAAAGCTTTTCACTCGACCTAAAACAGGCTAGAAGCAGCTTCTTGGTAGTGTTGTGGTCTGTCGTTGTTCTGCAGACAGTGCTCGTTATGATACTGCTAGTGCTGACGCAGCTCGTATCTCCTCTGACCCCTCACCTGGCAGAAGAGGTATTCTTCAGAATGCCCAGAAAGCTGAGAGAAGCGCTCGCTGCACACCGCAGGAGCAAGATCCTGGAGGCTTTGGGACCAGCAGGCGAAGGATTTGCAAACGCGCTCGGACTGCGCGGTCCGCTAACGTCTGTCTTCCAGGTGTCTCATCTTCCACCCTTGATCTGCTGCTTTGTCTTGGCTTATGGCTTATCACCAATTTGTGTTTCTGTATTTCTGCTTTTTTTCATATATGCGGGGCATGCGCTGTTGTCTCCTGTCAAATGCGATATAGTTGATACTCCGTAAGGCCACTTACGCGGGTTTCTCTGCATGTTGCGGCTCCACCTTTTGCAGGTAGGGTGGCCTCGCATGCACCTGCCCATACAGCCTGCCATTGCGGCGGAGGCGGAGCAGCTGTGGGACCTGGTGCTGTTGCTGCGCCAAGACGTCCACAGTCTCTTTACCAGGGCGCGGCAGCTTCAGAAGGGCAGCCGCGTCGGCGTACCACGGGTTGGCTCTCTCAATGACCTGAAGCTGAGTATAACGGCTCCGGTGAGTACCTATGAGTCGAAAGGTAGAGCCGTGAAGTTGTGGTTTTCTGAAGGAAATTTGTTCTCGTCCGTAGTGCAGAGAGAGTTGGCTTTTTATGTACATCAGGGGGTAGACGTTGATTTGAGCTCAGGGGAAAAACAATCTGGGGTATAGTGCTTGCGGTAATGCACGCAGACGATGGCGAAATTCGACCAGCTACGACGTTTGCTGCCGCAGTCCGAGTTACTAAGGCCGGCTCCCTTCTCTAATCCATGTTCTGGGCAAAATGGAAGAGCACGAGCGACGCCCTCGTACGTTGATGATCTACGGTGGCTAGTCCAGTGTTCTGACGTGGACATTCATATGCCTAGGGTTCCTGCCGGAGTTTCGAAGGACGAACAACTTGCAGACCAGACTCTGCTGGCTTCTGTGGATGAGGGTGCTTCGTATTCTGGGTTAAATATGAAACTGTACAGGGCGCAGGGGCCGAGATGCCAGAGGTTAGTCGGGTTCGCGTGCTATTGTTGAAGTTTCGCGAGCAAATACCAGCAAAGAAAGAAATTAATACACTACTTGTCTGTTCGAGTCATCCGTAGGAGACACTTCGTTGACGTACTAGAACGTTACCTCTTCTTACGTTGTGTTGCTTCTCTGCAGGTGCTGGATGAGGGCCGTACCATCAGCCAGCGATGTCTCGGAGACTCACGGCCCTGAAAGCGCCTCACAGCATGCCGAAGGAAGTGCGCCAGCAACGACGGATATCGCTAGGGAAGCAACTAAGGAAGTTCCATTTGCGTGCCAGAGGTGTACTGACGTCATGCGACACATGGAGAGCAAGTCATAAGACAATTGTTTTCAATTTCTGTAGCTTCTGCAGGGTCTTCAGCCTGCAGTGGTGGCGCGTAGTCCCTTAATCTGCACGGAAATGCAGTTAGCAAATATCTGTGGGCCTACTTTGACTTAACTACCCACTCAGGGCTGAAGTTAGCAGGATTGTCGAGGTCCAGTCCTCTGTACGATCCTGCGTTCATGTTTATGCGTCCTCTTCTTCCCTTTTATGCTGGATACAGCCCCCTGACGTTTTTTGTCTGCAACTTTGTCCTGTGTGGAAACATGGAATGCCAAAGCCCTTGCTTTCATGCATAGTTCTACATAGGGCAAAAGTGAACGCTTAGCGGGACGCTTTGCCTCGTGGGAGATATTGGGTGACGCCCTCAGAAAACGTATGGGCCCTTCCAATACACTTCCTATGATGCCTGTATGATACCAGAGTCTACCTCTATGCCATCTAGCTTACAAAACATCGTATGGGGGCTGTAATGCCCCGGGATTCAGCAGGCCAGAGTTAGCTGGAAACAATGTGATAAGACGTCTAATCACTGAGAGACAGGGAATAAGGTGATTTTCGGCAGATATTCGTATTTTTAATAGAAAAGGTGGTACGAATATGGATGATTCCACCTATAGACAGGACCGGCTTGACCTTGCATGGCATGTTACGCAGCTAAGCGAACGAACGAAGCCAGAGTACCTGTCCGCAAACCTGAGAAATAGCTGCGAATGGAAACGAACAACCAGAAATTGAGAAACCGACTTCTGGACGACTGTGCCGTTGGACCCCCCAGAGTGCTAGGGGAAGTCGCCGATCCGAGCAAGCTGGTGGGCCGGGTTGTAGTCTGCACCCTACTCGCAGATTATGCCCTTGTGCCGGCCGATGGGTACTGTGCCGTAGTCCGCTCTAACGGACTGCCGCTAAACTGGTTCACGTGCAAAGAGTATACTATATATCTCATGGTATATCCATTAGCGACATCTTCTCACTAACGAAACTAATACAACTGACAAATTTTAGTGGCGGAGCACTACAATATTCCTCCCTCTCGGCAAGTGTATTCCGCAGGCAGCGGCGGAAGCGCAGCTAGAATTTTGAGCACGAGTTTTGGGGCGGATGATTGCGACTGCTGAGCTACACTTTGCTCGCGACATCAAAGACGACGTTTCACCGGTGTACATCGGCGTAGGTCTCTTGCTTCCACTTAGTTTTGAGGATATGCTCCTGGGCTCGGTCGCACAAGCGGCGGAACAGTTTGGTCATGGGTTGTGTGGTGGTGGGAGTGAGAGAGCCAACGATGTACAGATCCGCCGCTGTGATCGGGTTCTTCCTGAACATAACCTCGAAAGGGCTGAGCTCCATAGAAGAGTGGCTGGCGTTGTTGTATGCGAGTTCCAATGCGGGGAGCATCTGCTGGATAGTGCGATTCACGCGCTTCGTCTGCGCATCGGTCTGCTGGTGTTAGGCAGTGAATATGGCGCGCTGGATGTTAAAAGAGCTGCTCCCAAAGGTCTCAGTGAAAGCGTGGGTCGCGATGCTTAATGAAAGCATCGGGGAATCCATGATATCGGACGACGCGATTTGGCAGCAGCTCATTGGTTTGTTCCGTTGATAGAGCCTTAATGGAGGGGGTAAAATGAGCCATTTTGCTGGGGGAATCTACGATGACGAAGACTGCGTCGTGGCCCTGCCTGCTCGGAGCGAGGAAGATCAGTGATGAAGTCCAGAGAGACTCATTGGGTGGCTCCAACGTCTGGACTGGATGTGAAGTGGTTGACGCAAGGCGGTTGAGAGCTAAGAGCGAGTTTTGGGTGACCGGTGTTGCTTGCAGGACCGGTGTTGTGTGCAGGAAGCCACGTACAAATTAGAATAAGCATGCGTGCCGGGCAAATAGAAATATCGGCAGAGGGCGCCATAGGCCTTTCTCTCGCCACGGTGACCCGCTGTGACGTGATTGTGATGCAACGGAAGAATCTGGGTGACGAGTTCGGGAAACTGCGCCATACATATATCCCTCGAGCCACTGTGACATACTAGCAGATAGGGAGAGCGGAAACTAAACGAGAAACAGCGCTGAGCCCGCTCGAGAGGCACCCAGTTGCCATTGGTGTTGCGACTTCGTATGGCTTCTAGACCTGAGGCGACACATGCGGCTCTGTGCTGAGAGCAGAGGCAGGAAAGAGTGAAAAGCCGGCTGTAAGGGAGGGGACGACGTGCATATATCCAGGGAAGAAGGCTGCGCCGTCTGGGCCGCACGAATAGAGAAGGGAGGCGACGTCGGTGGAGGAGGTAGGGAGAACTGCGTGCCGGAGTGAAACTAGGCCTTTGCCACAGGAGTGGATAGTCGAGCACGAGGGCCCGTTGAAAGAGTCCTGGGGCGCCGGTCAGCTTACAGGGCGGGGAAGGCGGTGTGGGCCTGCGGGAGCTTGCCGTCGGCATACTGTCGAAAGCTTCCTCCCGAATATGGAGCAACGCGACGACGCAGGTTCTGCGCCTGTCTAGAAGTGATGTGAGGATCTTGGCAGTATATCCCCACATGCTAAAATGCTCATACACGCTGTCAGCCAAGAGGTGAATAATGATACTTGGGACATTACCCAGGAAAATGGAAGCAAACATCTGAGGTGGGTACCGGGCCAGATAATAGGCAGGCGGGAAAGGCAGCTGCGTATCGATTCACGTCCCCAATCCAAGGTATAGAATATAGCCGCTGCGCATATTCCAAGGAATTTCGGTCGGCAAACGGGCCTAGCAAAGTTACCTTAAGCGAACTTCCGTTGGAACAGTCCAAATGCCGCCCGTACAAACTCATCAAAGCGTCGAATGCAGGCTCTCCAGATACTTGCGCAGTTCCGGTCTTCACTAGGTACGGGGATATCCGGCGCACGTGAAGGCATTTTCCGCCAATGTGAGGAATGCAGGCATCTGTTTGCCGGATTCCGCCGGAAGGGTGCTGTGCCGCGATTCATGAAATTTAATTACCGGGACGGAGGCACGTGAGTGACTGGAGGCGGGGGTTGCTGAGAATGTTGAAGGTGCGTTGGAGAGCATTCGTATTTAATCTGGGCAAAATGGGGACTCAATCCTTGGTAGTTTGTGTGGTCTGGGCTCACCCAGTAGTTGGGGGCCCTAAACACTAGGAACCGGGTTGTTTTTGTCGAGTAGTTCCGTCTTTCGCCAACTTGCGTGCCATATATGAAAGCAGAGGAAGCTCCTTCGCCTATGCCCATGGCCCCTGGCAGTCGCTTTGGCCCACCCCGCAAGAGTATCATGCCGTACGATTGGCTGTTTCTAATGCGCTGGGGTTCCGCAGGGCACTTCCAGGTCAGCTGGAGATATATGCCACTGTGAAAACCGATCAATATTCCCATATTTATATGTGCATCTATATATATATCAATTCACCATAACTGACAGGAGTGTTTTAATGCATTTGACATCTAATAAGAAATCCCTTGACATAAACATCAGGAATCATACAATCATTACTCTATTTTTGAGGCTAGGATAGAAGCAAGCTGCAATGAAGCTAGAGACTTGCAGTAGGAGTTTTCCTAAAGCAGCTGATACCTGTCCCCTGTTCCCATATCTCCTTCTAGAAACTCCCCTACAGAAGACCAGGATAAGGGGAGTTTGGGGCCTTAGCGATTATTGGAACTTGATCCCNGCCGGTCTGCGCTTTGTGCCCCCAACGACAATACAAACGCAGATGGAAAACACAGTTGTGAGGCCTAGCAGGGATCCACGTTCACGCACACGTTGGGGTGATATGGATCCATATTACTAGAGGTACTACGGCCCAGAAAGCTGATGATGTGTGGTGAGAGCCGTCAGTCCCTCACGTGCAAGCCGATATTTGTTCAAGATAACCTAGGATAATTCACTAAAAATATTTGAAGTTAGCTGTACGTATTTTATTGGGTTGTATCTCTGAAGGACTACTGGGGGGCGCATCCATAGAACCGCACAGCTGAGTATAGCGAGCTGGCAGGCATTAGCTATCATACTGATACAACAACATAACAAACTAACAAAGGTTAGAGGAAACTACTCTCAGTTTCTTCTACAAAGATATTCTGTTCTGGAACCCCGCTGGAGCCGACACTGCGGCCTTTGGGACTGGTTTAGGAGACGCCGTAGCATGTTGCAACACCTTCTTGCACCAAGGCTCATGCTAGCATCTCCTATAGTCATGCCAATGCCACTTCGTGAAGAGTGTTTAACGCATTCACCAATGATATACTCCACGTACATCAATAAGCACTCACAGACACGTTCACTGTTCATTCGACCCTCACTCATACACAACGAACACGGCATTGTTGCCGTGATTGTAGTGAGTATTCACTACATCTCCTGGGCGATGGAGTCAGGGCCTGAGTGCTGCGGTGAAGAGGCAGCCTGAAATGAAGTTGCATCGCTCCTCGCTGCGGCTGATGATACAAGCCAGTCTCACGCGAGTACAGAAGGAAGCTTCAACGAAGATTCCTTTACTGCTTGCTTTACCTCTGAATACACTTCTAGAGCGTGTGTATGCGCTTACATGCAACCTGCGTAGGCCAAGTGAAGTTGTTTGCTATATGTAGGCAGACTACGCTACAAATCAGAATGTCACGATCTATCTGAACGACCCATCTATGTGGAGAAAGGCGAAATTACCAGCTCTAGTGGTGCTATGCTGGCAGGGACCCCTACCGGCGCGGCCTAGGTGTAAAGAGACGATGCACACACACCACTGGACGCTTTCTGCCAGCAGAAAAGTAGATAGTAACAAGTTAATTAGGGAAAAAAGTAGGAGGGAGATGATTCTGGCTGCCTTTGGGCCATATATCCGGTGTGTCTTTGAAGCTTTCACGGGTATATCGCTGCTTGTCCCCGGATGCGGCAACCGCAACTTGTGGAGGCCGGCAGCGCCGGCCTAGTCGGTAGAGCCTGCCTACATGTGCTGCGTAGCGGTCCCACTAGCGGAATGCTGTCATCCCTCATAAATGTGACTATTAATATAAGAAACCCACTACTATCTAATACACGGATTCGGGCCTCTAGCGAAACTCTAGGAGCTGACGCTGTAGTGGGCCGCACTGAATTGCCGCACGTCTGCACACAGGGAAGTTCGAACACAGCCTCCTTTACTACACGCTTTACCTGTGTATACAGCTATGATGCGCTTGCATTCACTTGGAGGCAACATACCAAGCCCAAACGAATGCTCCTGTAGCATCTGTACGCAGAACACGCTGCACTATTGTGTCTTAAGCCGTCGTTGAAAGAACACAGCCGACAGCTGGAAAGGAGATATGAACACAAAGAGCATGTAAGCCTTAACTTCGAGAAAACGAACCAAATAAAAAAAATCCGAATTTCCGGGCATTACCGAATGCCCGTCCTCCGTGCTTCCCTATGGCAGATTCCGTATAGAAAATGTAACGCCGTCGGCCGGCGTTACATAGTATAACTCCAGCTTGAGGGGTCGTGACTGTTCTGCTATGCTATTCTGTCACTATTCTGTTATTAACCTGTCTGAGAATATGAAAAGCGCGTATTTCACCCATACGCTCAGCTAGAATATCACGCATCTATTCACTTGTAGGGCTCACGCACGGTTCTGCGGCGAACTGGAGATTTTCCAGTATCTGAGAAGCTATACTTTATCGGATGTGCAGTTTAACACTTTTAATAAGCAAAATAACAAATAAATATGTGCAGAGGACAAAAGACAAGGCCGGTAATAGAGACATTCCCTGTTGAGTTCACCACCGCGCACCCAGGGGCCCCCCTGTCCGGGACCCTGAACGGTTCGAAGCCGAAGAAGTCTCTTTTAAATGTTGCTTTTCTATTTTTTCGGCTTTCAAATTAAGGGTTCTCGGTTCCTTAATAATCTCCCTGGTCAGTCCGCGAGCCAGGTTCTCCTTAACAGGCTATCCCGTGGGAACCCCCAAACGGTTATTGTGCTATCCGCTGTTCTCCCGAATATGGCAGGAGAGGACTCGTCCTGAATTTGGGACATTCAGTTTTTTGATATTCCTCCAACAGTCTGGAAGGATCTTGAGGGCATCTACGAGCCACAGTGATTGACCCGTCTTCGTCCATTAGACGATGGGTTGGCGTCGATTGCTGCTTTTTTCTTCCCTCTGCCATTCCTTATCCGTGGGGGCTTTCGGGACCCCCGTGGTCTCGACAGATACCGGGAGTTTGGGGGCAGGCAGCCAGGAGGTGTGGGGACACATCTTCTGCGACCCCGCGCAAACACCAGGCCTCACAATTGCCCTAAACGGGATTCAGCTTGGAAATGCAACCTTTCTGCCGGCGTTCCCCCGCGGAGGAGCCCCTAGGAAGAGCTCGGGTGTTGACGGTTCTCCCTTGGGGTCGCTTGGTCCCTCAGCCGAGTTTCGGATCCCGCCTTTGCTGCCTGGGTCGTATCTTCTGGAGGTGCTGCACCCGGGGCTGACCTTCCCCAAATACCGGATCGTCACGACAAGCACGGGCGGTAGTGAAGTGTATATGCTGAATGAGTATTTGGTGCCTGCTACTTTGGCTTCCCTGCCGGTGCCCTTTAAGGTGGGGCCCACGGGTGTTCCTCGGTACTTCCCGGTGCAGGGAGGTTTCAGCATATTGGACTTGCTGAGGCAACCCCTCGTCATTTTGGTCATGGTGTCCCTCGGTATAATGTATTTCCTTCGAAAGATGCAAGAAGCGCAGACGGAGGCGGAAAACCAACAACTCGAGCAGGAGCCACATGAACAGCACGCCGTGGACAACATGCAGCACGAGCCCCCAGAGTCTGCCTTCGTGCAAAAGCTACTGAGACAAAGCGGCTGTTAGTTTTTATCAGGGCACTGGATGTAACAAGAACCNAAGTCGCCACTGGTCTCGTCCCCAACACGATTCTGCGTCTCATGTGCCAGCTAAGTCACGCCTACATTGCTCTCCTGTTGGCACTGATGTGGCACTCTATGTTGTCGGTGTGCTCGATGACACGCACTCAGCCCCGTCGGACCTGCTAAAGCACTGGCTACCATACAAAACCCTACTGGTCGACGGGAACTACCTAGCACATCCCCACCAAAACTCAACCACTTCTTCCGATAAGTTGTCATGAAAACGACTCCATCCGGACAAGCGGAGTCAGGGGTGTTTCCAACAGGCCCCTGTCAACAGCAAATGGAAGCATCCCAATTGCTGTACGTGCTTCCGCTGCGCTGCGCAGGCGCGTCCCTGCCGCAAACCGCGCCGTTTGCTCCCCCTAGGTACCTGACCTAGTCCGCCAACGGCGGTAGTGAGGGCACTGCACTACGCAGAAGCGGAGGAACTCGCACTATTGATGCGTTAAGGATTCATCGGTTTCTCCTCTGGGCTCGCTGCGTACGGCTTCGCCCATGTTGCCCCTGGTGCAGCCGCAACTCTGACTTTATATTAACTTACCACATGATACATGTCGTGACTCTGCTGTTCTTCATGCCTCATGCCACTGCTGTTCGGCAACTACACAGCTAAAGCTTCGTAACTGTGGCAGTGTCACCTCCCTTGACCGCTGTTGCCACTGCCCATCCACCGCATAAACCAAGATGCTTCCTCCGTTTGGCCAGCGCTACTCCTGGTAGAGCTTTGCCGTTGCCCATTTACAGCTGCTGCACTTGCGGGAAGCAGGCGCTGTGGCTGCTGGCCCGGTTGACGCTGCTGCTGAAGGGTGCCATGCCGAACCGGTCCAACGGCCCCGCTGGGAGCCAGGGCAAGAAGTCGGCCGTCAGCTAACCTAACGCAAGGCCGCTGCTGCTCAACAGTTTCGTTGTGAGGTGCGAACTGATGAGTATACGCGAAGCTTCTGCCGGTTGTAAACGCAGGTAGCCCTTGCGCAGTAGGCGTGACCGGAGTAGGTCCTACTGGAGATGCTGGAGATGAGATAAGAACGGGCCCTCGCGGCCCCTGGCTGTGGCAGACTACAGGCGGCAAGGCCGTAGCGGTAGCTTGTTGCCTCAAGTGCAGCTGCTCCCGCCACATCTGCTGCTGTGGTCTGTCATACCTGAGAGTTTGGCTAGGGCGGCTTTCCCGCCACAGGCCTCCTGCATGGCCCCCCATCTGCTGTACTTCCCCAATGGGGCCCCCACTCCTTGCGCTGGGCACGCTTCCGGCAGAGCCTGCGACCCCCGAAGAGGACCCGGCGTAGCCTCTTCCAGTCGGGTAGTAAGTATGCACACTGGTAGTGCTGCTGTCTACTGCTGCTGCAGATGCTGCGACCGCTGGTGAGGCTAAGCGCCTCTCTGTGGCTCTCCCCAGCACGCTGTGATACTGTGGCGGGTCCATCGCGGGGGTTGCTAATGGAGAACCCCTTAAGCCCCTGGCCACGCGACTGGTCCAGGCCTCCTGTTCTTTCTTCGCTTCAAACCAGAGCTCGTTCACAATCCTGGTGGTCTGCGGCAGCACTTGCTGTAGCCGTTGTTTCTTTATGGATGCAAGGATAAGCTCCTGTTCGGCGGCAATGCCCGCCAGCTCCTGTGCGCTTACCTGCAGACATTCCGCTAGTGCCTCCTCTTCCACATCTACAGCGGTAACAGCGGGCTCTTTGAATGATGATTTCGCCGCTGCGTCTGTTACCGCGCTGTCAGAAGAGCCTTCAGAAGCAACGGACAGAACCAACCGTGCTAAACCCTCCGCCTCCAGTTCGCCAATCGTAAGGCCACGAGCTATGGGGAAGCCTTCCTTTATGTAGTGGAGCTGTAGACACAGGCACGTTGAGCACCACCAAAACCGCTACCGAGGTGAATGCCCACCGGGCTCTCATTCGTTCAAGGTGTTTCGACACACGTCTCAACATAATGCCCAACCAGTTCCCCTGAGCTGCGCGGATGCATTGAAACGGCTCCTTTATGTCTCTGGTACTGCCAACTGGAGATCAGGCATTTATATGACGTGCTTCTGACCAGTCCCCAACTGCGCTAGTTGTGTGTTTGCTTACCGAAGTGTAATGACCCAGTTTTCCGTGCCACATGAGTCGAAAGGGAGTGAGAGAATCGCCCTCCTGGCTTGGAGGCTTCCTCTTCTCTGCATCTGGCTCAAAAGCCTGAAGCAGCTGAAGGCGTTCGTCAAAAACAAAGATCGGGGTGCCGAACAATAGCAACAATGCATGCATCTCCCTGTAGTCCGCCCATTCTGCGCGCACGCCTCATACGCATCAGCNTCATGAGCGTTTTGCGGCTTCAAACGCCGACAGGAAACACTCCCCGTAGCATAAGGTAATAGTTGCTAAGGGGGTAAAAACGGCCAAAACGGCCGACCGCCGAAGGCCTACAAATATGGACACATGCTTTCCGACATCGAGGCAACTCCGCCACAGATCACGGCTATGCCTATGTAGGTGGTGAGCGGCTTTCAGAGGTGAACCTAATTGTGTTTTCTCGCGCTTGTGGCATTCGTATCTCTCCTAGCCTATTCCACTCTCCTCAGCAGGGCGATACGAACCGCTCCCTTAGATATCCACTCCCTGATATGTGCACGGGTATAATCACTTCCTTCGCTAGTCCTCTACAGGCGGAACCTAGGGCATCGATTAATTCAGCAGTGGGTGGCAAGTACCTCCATACGTTCTTTTGGTCTGCAGCCATCGCTCGAAGGGGCCTTCGCTCTCATCCACAAATGCCTCAAAGGTGTCCTTACATCTCGACTGCGCGGAAGCAAGAGCAGCAAGTAGGTTGAGACACATAAGGAGTCTAGCCACACTATAACGCCACGCTGCCTCTGACAACAGGGGTGTAGCTCACCATTACATAAACAGCAAGCCTCCGTAAAAACAAATGATGCTCCTGAGATCCATACAGCTGCAAAAACGAAAGACAAAGCAGTTAAAAATAACCAGCAACGATTAACTGACAGACTGCAAAGGGGTCGCCTACAGCTGCATCACATGAGATGTAGCTTCGCAGCTCCGCAGAAAACACCAGTCTACCCCCTGAGAGCCGTCTCTGTACAGATGGGAAAATTGCCTACTTGGTCCGAGAATGCGCGGTAGAGACAATTCCCATCTCCCTCACACTCGCGCGTTAACATATACGGGGCCATGGCGGCAATGGCAGCGTCCTGTTGTGCCTTCTTCGTGCTACTCCTGCTATTGCTACTGCTGCTCCCGCTATCGTCCGTGCTATTATTGCTGCAGGTCGGACTGCATTGCTGTGCTCCCTCCTCAGCGTCTTGAGACTCTGTCTCCACGTGTGGTAGGTGCTTTGGCTTGGGGGGGTTCCGTTGTAGTTCCTTGATGGCGGCGAGCTTCGGGCTGCCGTCAGATACTTCCCCGTCGCTGTGAGCCTTCTTCTGAGCGTCTCTGTAGTTGTTGTATTGCTCATCATGCTCCTTGACTCCAGTTAGGCTTTCATGTACGGCTTCATTTCGAATGTATTGACTCTCACAAATGCTGCTGTTGGAGCTCCGTGCTGCACGTGGANCTCTCCGGCTCGTTCATTTGCGGCTGCCCTTTCTGCTGCTCTCGATATAAAAGAACCGGCTGTTTGGACTCATTAACCGAAGTGATTTGCATGGGAACCGGGGCTCCCAAGGGGCTGGAGGGTTCATCTCCTGCCCTGGGGTCTCCTTCCCACGAGGAGCAAGTGGAAGAATTAGAGTTTCTAGCTAACGGGCGCAAACCACGGGTGGCCTTGGCTGCATCGCGCCTTGGTTCCGGCGCTGCTATTGCTAGGGCTGCAGCGCCTGTCACCACCGTTGTTGCAGCTGCTGTTGGCTGAGCACCAAGTCGCAAAGGTCCCGGCTCGCTCGCTTGTGAAACTACATCGTTGCTTTGCTTCTCATTGAAGTTGTCACCTCTACCTTGGTTTTTGCAGTCCTGTGCCGGACATACGGTCACTTTAATAGAGCTCTCCTGCTTCCGCTCCTTCCCGGAATCCGTGTCCCAGCTGTCTGCATCGGCGGTACCCCTAGGTGCCTCCCCAAGGTCTCCTCCTGTGTCAAACGAAGCTGTGTTAGACTGGTCATCATGATCACCAGCAGCAGTAGAAGTCACTGCAGGAGCTGTAATGGCAGTAGCCGTAGCGGCAGCGTGGCGCAGAAGCCAAGAGCCGTCCTGCGTTCTGTTGCAAATCAAGGTGTTTGTGGTTTTGCAGCAGTGACAGGTGATGCGCACAACCTGTGTACCCTCCAGGTCATCTCCTAAACGGAAACTTTCCTTCCCTTCAAGGCCAAGAAACGTGCCATGGGCAGCAGCGACAGACACCGCACAGGAGGGAGAGTCGCCGTGCTGTTGAGCGTCCGCAGCTATCATGATGGGTGCCGGTTGCTTCCAACCAGAACAGCCGAGGTAAAAGACCCTCTGCCTATGCTGGTTGTTGCTGCAGTCTAATGCTGCTGCTGCTCCCCCCTCTGAGTTGCGTGTCCCACCAGCCAACACAGGCTTCTCACCCCCTCGATTGTCCAGTAGCAGTGGCAGAAGCAGAAACAGCACCGCAAGCACGGGAAGCAGCTGCCGCGCAATGCCTTACAACAATTAATCACGAACAACTCTTTTGTGACGCCAAGAACGCCCCGAAACGCCAGCTCATGAGTTCTGATTCATCAGGCAGCTGTCGTTGGGCTGTGGGCGCCTGCGGCTGTGCTCAGTCGCGAGTGTAGCTCGGAGTCGTGTTTTGTCTGTAAAAACAGTGCCTTGCTCTACCGTATTCTCTACCATCATCTTCGNGTAGCTCGGAGTCGTGTTTTGTCTGTAAAAACAGTGCCTTGCTCTACCGTATTCTCTACCATCATCTTCGCCACTTCTTGAGAGAATTCATGTCTCCCATATATTAATTCGTAATGGCCAACCGACGGTTGGCCCAAGTCCATTATTCCCCCAGCCAGTGGCACCACTGCTGAAGTTGATGGCTGCCGGCGGGGTGTACCCTGACTACAGCCGCTACTGGCTCTGTTTTCCGTATTTCTCTTCTAAAACGTGTAGGCTGCACTGAAAAAAGGACCATATCGGTTGAGAGTTGCACCAGGGCGGTGATGGCTTGAAGAAGCAATTTAGGGGACTCGCGCATTGAGCTTTGCGGGGTCGGTAGCAGCACCAGCACGTAAATGGTCCGTCTCGCAGAGGTTTTCAAGGCTGTATATGGCTTTTTGAATAATAAGTTGGGAAAATGAAGTGCTACTTGCTGTGGACTAGTTCCGCGGCGCCGTGGGAAGTAGCCCCAGGCTGCGAGCCATTGGTTGGACCGCCCGCAATCGAGTTAACACATTACAGGAGACAATATTGGCAGTGGGACAGAGTGAGGATGTGCATGAACGCAGGGGATTTTCTTGGGTGTTATCGGCCTTCGAATCCATATAGACGATATGAATCCTATCATCGCTCCTCTTTGAGTTGCCTCCACCTGTTGTTAGGAGAGTCGATAGCGTAGCAAGGAAAAGTAATATGCTGTTGAAGATTCACCCAACACCAGCCGAGGCGGTACAACGACTTCATGTATTTATGGCATATAGCTTGTTCTAAGCCAGCGTTGCAAGAGAACTACAGGCTCCCTCCAATCGCTAAGAGTGCAGTATGGATAGTGTGTCCTGTCTACAGGTTACATGGCGAGTGACTCCTGGAGGTTCCTAGGACCTACCTGCCCTAATATTGAGAGTCAACTAATCCAGTAGTTCCCCACAAAAGAACCGACTCCCAGTAGACGAATCCCCCGTGATTGAGAACTGCCTACCCCTCTAGCTAGCAAAGTACCCATTTAGCGTTTGCTCCCTAGAACAGCCGACGAAGCAACCTACAAGACCCTACACTAGGCAGCCAAGTAGTTTAAAAAGCCCGAAGGGCCCGTTGAAGGGAACGCGAAAGCATAATGCAATAACCTGCAGAAGCATTAGTTCTCTGTGGGGCTGCCAAATCGANTGAAGGGAACGCGAAAGCATAATGCAATAACCTGCAGAAGCATTAGTTCTCTGTGGGGCTGCCAAATCGAGCGCCTCAACGGACGCGCTGCCAATCCGTTGAACAATTCACACCCTCTAAAAGTCATCAAACAATGGTGTGAAAAGACGAAGATCTCGCAACGGCACTGGTTCGTATCTTAAATTTCAAACCCCCTTGGGTGCGTGCAACCGGATATTCATCTCGCACTCCAGGTACCTACCTACATACCAAACAAAAAGTCCAGGAGCGCAACTGTCTCAACGTGAAGCTTCAGCACACTACAGCCGCAATGAATTAATTCAAGACCTCCTCAGAATCAACTCAGCACGAGGCTTGTGCAAACGCACCCTTCATCTTGCTCACGACGGTGCTGACTCGCGAACGGTTGAAATTGGTATCAGCTGCACTCTCGTGCAGTGAAAAAGCCTCGCACGAGGCCAGTTACGTCGGGGAAGTGCTGTTTTCAGACCGTCAACCGTGCTTAACATCCAATNAGCCTCGCACGAGGCCAGTTACGTCGGGGAAGTGCTGTTTTCAGACCGTCAACCGTGCTTAACATCCAATCTCAACTTTCTACAGGCTAGCAAGTGTGATGCTTGCGCGTTACCCCAACGACGTGCACGTTAAGCAGTACTACCCGGCAATTCCCATCATTTGAACTGTGCAGCATGGTGCGGTGAGGGGCGGGTCGCATTCTAGCCCCAACAGGAGCCTGGGTACGCTATCAGGAAGCCCGTGACTCCGCCCAGGTCGTCTTCTGCTGACTCCCGCGGGAGGCACATCAGGCCCAGATTAATTCCCTTTCCTCATCTCTCGGCCGATGAGGAAAGGGAATTAATCTGGGCTTGATGTGCAGAAAACAGCGCACCATAAACACGTGGAGTGGCCATCTTCCTAATACACCGCAGTTTATAGAGTTGCTCCTCCACCGCTACCTTTCCTCACACAGGGCAACCTGGGCTGAGCTGGGCGTGCCGCATTGTGTTTGCCGCACCCACGGACGGCTACTAAGCCTGGCAGATGCTTCAGCGAAGAATACGTCCCCCCCTGTTGAAACGCATTCCCTTGTGGTCGTCCGTTACGAAGCCCACATCTCTGTCTGCTCGCCTGCACTAATAAGGGACTCTCTTTCAACTTCAGGAGGGTTAGTTGCGCCAGCGTCTGCCATGACCTCTGCAGCAGCTCCACCAGCGGCACTCGCAGCTCCACCGCTCCTACAAAAAAAAAGCAGCATTCAAACAATTATCCGTCGTCTGCAGAGAATATGGTCAGAAAGCAAACAAAACGCAGAACGAAACAGCACTACGAGCTCTACACGCATGAGCATGCAAAATGATGCAACGAACGCAACAAAGGACTCACAAGCCGTAGAAAGCGCCAGCTCCTGCTGCGATTGCGAGGATCCCTCCAGCTACACCACCTGCTACTGCCGCTGTCGGGAAACCGCCACCTTCTTCTTTAGCCTCTTCCTCCGAACTCTCCCCGGAGCTCTCTTCCCCTTCTGCCCCTCCAGCTCCACTTCCACCGCCTCCACCAGCGCCCCCTCCGGCACCTCCCCCGCCAGTGGAAGACTCTGCACACTTCGCTTCGCAGCTCTGTTCCTCATGTGTCGGGCTCGAACATTTTCGGTCGTCATAGTCAAAAGCCACCATAGTTTCCCGCGTCCGGGTCCCGGAGCAAGACTCACAACCCGTCCATTCGGTGAAAGGAAGTGTGCAAGGGCCTGTTGAAATGCGCAAATGCACAACGGAAGATCATAAAAAGATGCACCGCACAAACAGAGAATTGGACAAGCACAAACAAGCCTAAACCAACAGACTTCACTAGAGGTGAACTGAAGCGGCCTGTCAAGCATGTCCCTAACCTTTCAGACAGAAATATCAAGCGAGAAAGCTAGCGTTGGACTGTCCGTCTAAGTTCAGATTCACGCAGAAGAACTAAACAGAATAAGATCTTGACCTGCTCTCCCATAGCCTGGAGCACTCACCGCAAGGCACGTTATTGCACGCTCGCTCCTCGGATCTCAAAATCTTTTGGCCTTCAGGGAGTCCTTTGTTCTGTTCCTCAACTGTCTTTCCTCCAAACGTAGCTTCCACCATGCTACGGGAACGGTGGCGGACCTGCGTACCGCCGCCACATTGTTCGCTGCAAGGTCCCCATCCTTCCCATTCGCCGACGACTTCATCGACAGGGCAGGGTTGCTTGTTGCATTCAGTAATTTCTGTGGGCCCTTCCGGGTGCAACTCTATGCACGATCGACCGCCATGCTTGGCATCGTCAAGCCAAGGTTCCCTTCTACGCTCTTGCGTGCCGCCGCCACAAGTCTTCGAGCACTCGGTAAAGCCAGACCACTCCCCACATGTTGCATCGACAGGGCAAGGTATATCATTGCACTTCTCGGTCTCTCGCACAGCTATACCCTGTTGTTCAAGCGTCTCCCCCCCATTTAGTTCGCCTATCTGAGGATACCCCTCCCGGTCGCGGTGCCTTGTACCGCCTCCACATGTAGCGGAGCATTCGGACCAGTCACCCCACGGTCCCGGTTGTTGCTGAACTGGGCAAGGGGACTTCTGGACAGACTCCACCTCAATTTTATATTTAGGAGGGTTCTGCTCCGCACATGAAAGACCACCTCCGCTGGCTGGCGGATTTTCGTAATCTTGCCTCTCTCTCTGTCGCGTTGCCGATCCACAAGTGGTGCTCCATTCGGACCAGGGGCCGAATTCCCCACAATGCGCGTCAACCCTGCAGGCCGGCATGCTACACGGTTCCGTGCGTATTAGACCAGGAGACTGTTCAGCACAGGACCGACCCTGAGGAGCTTCACACGTAGGGCACGGTGGTGTTCCCGGCTGCTGTGGGGAAATCTCGACACGGGTGCTCGTCCGCTTTCCCTCTGTGCCGCACTCCCCCTCGCAAGGCCCGAAGTCGCTCCAGTCACTACATACTGCATCCTTCGCAAGGTCTCTGCATGCAGCCTGGATGATGCTGCTGACTTGTTTGCCGACATCTACCCAATTCGTCTGCAAGTATCTGGGGCATTCCGTAGTATCGCAGCCTGCAATACTTCGACATTCTGACGAGTTAACTCCCGTGCCAACTCCTAAGACAACAACGACCACTCCACGTTCGCGCAGGCTTTTGGCAGCGGATAAAGTTTGCGCGCGTTTACTGCTGGCACCGTCCGTCATCACCAACACCATCTTCGGCACACCTTCCCGGCCTCCCTTCTGAGCACTGAAGAGCATGTCCGCTGCTGCATTGATTCCAAGGTGAGTGTAAGTGGAACCTGCTGCATACGGCAGACTGGCTGCTCCGCTGGCGAACAATCCCGGGTCTTGGGCTCTAGAATCGCTGAGGTCCCAGTGAGTCACAGCTCTGGTGCCGAAAGTAATCAAACCCACGCGGACATCCTCAGGGGAGATAGGCATGGTACTTGCAAGGTCTTGGAGAAAGAGACGCACTTTCTTGTAGTTCACGGTACCAATAGAGCCTGACTCGTCGACCACCGCCACGGCGTCCAGAAGGCTTGTGCAGACTCGATCCGCGTCCGCCCTGACAGCTGAAGCCACAGAGAAATCACACAGGATCGGACTCGCACAACAATAAAACCTGGACAGGGGAAATATGCCCAAAGCAAGTGAACACTCTGCATGTATGAGTAGCCCGTGAAGGGGAACCGGCAGCCAGCAGGCGTGACACCCCCAAAGCCATTCAAGAGCCCCCACAATGATGGATCCATAGAAGCTTGCACAAATTCGTCAGACGAAAAAGCAGCAGTGTACTATGATAAAGAAACACCAAATATACGGTAACATAGGCATGCGGCATAGAGAAGACTTTTCCCCAGAGTCCTCGCATTCGACACCGTCAACGAACAAAGTGTGTCTACCAAAAGTCAGGCATCAAGCATGAAAACTACTGCAGCAATTTGACCCTGCGTAGAGTCAATGAAAGCATAACACTGGTTGGGTTCGTGCCACAAAGACTGCCACGGCACCGCGCACCGAGCCACCGCAAGCTACTCGGTGGTCTTATAGCCGGCAGATATGCTGCTTCCTGCAATGAGGCCATATTTACGAACCTTCAGGTGAACAATGGAAGATAAAACCAGCAGCGAGAGCCACTAATAGTGAGAGTGCCCTGGAGGGCGCTAGCCTCCGAAGAAACGCCATTGCGGCGGTGATACGAGGAAAAGGCGGGACCAGTAAAAAAGATAAAGGAAGTGAATATAATGAAATGAACCTGCAAAAACCGCTTGATTTGAAGCCAGACCTGAATAGTTTTGTGAGGCGGCTGAACTACGATGCCCTCGCGGTGTTTCTGCTCTTGCGCGCTGGCAGCTTTCCAGCACGCCTTGGTTTCCCGCGGGATCTGCATGCCGGCCGCTGCGGACGCAAATTTGTTATTGCTTTTGGATATTGTTCAATATATTCAGTACATTTCTGAGATTTCATATCCCTTTGCATTAGAGACGGCCTTCGACTTTGCTGCGTCGTGCATCGACGAGCCTCGCCACACCCCGGCTGCGATGGTTGGGCAACTGCTTTTAACTACATCTCCCACCAGATTTCCATAAAACCTATAAGGGTCTATATTCTTTATCTCTGAATTGACCAGCTTCTGCTCAGGATGACTTGAAAAGCGAACATTTTCCTTGGCATTGCCACGAGCCAGGGCTCGTGCGATGAGTGTACCTGTTCTGTCTTAAAGTAGTGGAAACGCAGGGAAGAAGGCAGAAAAGAGCGGTAGAGAATAGTTTCAGGATACGTCCCGTGGAATTTGCCATCTTAATGAATGTCTCTCTATCAGAATTGCCAGGCACCACAGTAGCGGTCACGGCCCGCCGCCGTATCGTGCCGGGTGGGCACATGGC